GAAACTCATATTTACGAATTTTTATTCCACTCGGGATAATCGGAGTATTTAATTTAGAATTTTATAAAGAAGAAGATTTTCAGTAGCGTAACCAATCATTACGCCGTTTATTTCCCAAAAAATTAAGTATTCAAACAATCCATCTATCAACTATTCTATCCGAACTATCGAGGGAATTAATTAACAGCAATGAATTGCTGGTGGGTGAATACTCTTGGGGCATTACCATGCTGTAATTAGAAATGGTTATAAACTGCTTGTTGCACTGATTTAGATCTACAGTTAAACCTAACTTTGTTTCAAAAAATTGTGCACGCTGCTGATAATTCATTTTCTCTTTATGATTTATTCTAAATATCGTCAGCTATGTATATGTAGAAGGTAAATTTATTCGGAAGGGTGTGTGATGGTACGGGATGACACCGACGTTTTAACGAAACGTATTTTTAACTAAGTTAGCGGTTTTGTCGATGTGCTATTTGTATTTCGGATAATAATATTTGAGAATCGCGTTTTATGACGTCTGGAAAGTTTCGGAATTAACTAGAAGTTCATAATTCCACCGTCTGTTCGTAGGTTCAAAGCAATTAGGTGTAAATAAAACCCCCTTTTATCAAAGAATTAAAAAAATTTCATGTCAGAATTTTGTGCTTATTAGGAATATTTACAATTCACAAAACTTGACACCACCATTTTACTGCTAAATTATTATGTTATATTTTTCTTAGGGAGTTTTTAAATATGAAAGTAATAAATATTAAATCATTGATTATTTATTTGCGAAAGCAAACTGAAATCTCTATACCTACGGAGATTAAACAGTTTAAGTTTAAACTTTATGTTTACATTAGTAATTCTATTATCACCCATGAAACAAAACGATTATTAAATAATTCCCCTGCACTTCTGGTATATTACAAAGGATACTCCAATTCTATATTAGAGAGATTTTCATCTGGCGCTTTTACTCAAGTGTTAAAGCATTTATAGTTAATTCCATAGGTGGAGTTTTATGGCTGGTTATTTAAAATTCAATCAGTAAATGTAACACCGCTTTCTGAGCAAATAATAGTTGGCAGTAAAGCGAACTTCTCGCGCACTGCGCGCTATTTTCAATCTCGTTGCGTTCGGAAAAGTGGCGACAATAAAATATGAAAATTATATTGGTATATGCATTCGTAAAATTGGCACTTAAGAGGTTGTAAAATTTAACAACTGTAACTGCAGCGAAATGGAATGAATATCAGCAGATGAAACGTTTTATAAAATTTTATTAATCTGACTGATACACCTAACTTATATTAAAATATAAAATTTTACGTTATATTTCTTTTAGTAGAAAATTCGAATTTCATATTTTCTTTAATTTAGGTACAAATATTTTTTTTCTGGTTACACTATTATGTGAAATTAATACAATGTCTTTTACATTATACGATAATTTTTTTTTATATTCGTAAATGAAATTTTAATTTTCAAAATATGTTATTTGTAATTAAGCAAATAAACGATAAACATATTTTGTATTAAAAACACCAATCAATAAAACCAATCTCCTTCAAATCGGCCCTTTGTAATTGGCAATATTTCACTGACCGTGTCGACGTTATGTAAAATTTTATTAGTCTTTATTTATGTTGGAATAATATTAACAGCGTTGTATGGCTACAATTTTCAATCGGATTAAACATTCGGCAATTTATCATCCGGCGTTCAAAACGTAATACCTCTTCGTACTTGTTTGATTAATTGATCAATATTTTCTTAATTGAAATTTCCGTTCGCTAGCGGCATCGGACGCGTTAGGATGGCGTGAAGTCAATTGATGATGAAATGGGAAGCATGATGTATGTGTTTCATTTTTGGTTTCTCATTTTTAACCGCTTTTATAAAAATACAAGCTTAATTCTTAATTTTCAGAAATAAAAAAAATAATAAACCTAAACGTAAATGGTTTCTTATTTATCACATTTTCCACAGTGATCCGTTTGTCATTATCATGTCTCTTCATCTTATACATATTGTATGGCAGTATGAATTCAATATATATGGATGTTGATATATACCAAACCGTATTTTTTCTTTTCAATATATCAGATGTGAGTCTCTATTTCTTTTATTCCATAAATATAATATCGCAGAGTTATGATATAAATTTGTTTCGTACTCGATATTCAGATTCCAGTGGAGTTCCTATTTTATTTCTTAAAAGATTCGGTTTCAGATGTACTATAAATAAGTTCATTTTGATTACAATTATCGTAATACTTTTACACCTCAATGAACATTTTGAACATCTATTAGTAAGATTGAAAGGAATCATCAAAATTTATCTACTATGTAGATAGTTACGAGTTGATTACGGAGGAACGAGTTGGTTGAGAAATTGCGTATTGTATCCCATTTCAGTAGTTCAGTTTGTATTGATTATATTGGTTTAATCATCCAAAATAGCCTCCAGCTAGTTAACGTAGATGGACCAATAATAACCAATTGAATATTCATAATGTAGCCTACGCTTGTTACTCCTGCGAGAGATCGCGCGAGTTATTAAATTCAAATATATCAATAGGGTTAATTCTTTTCGGTCTAGTCGTTATATTTTTCTGATTTTAGGAATATAAAAATTCCATTAACTGTCCGGGGTTCTTTCATTTGACGTTGAATTTACTCATTAAATATTCCCTTCTATTGAATATAAATATTTATTATTAACTTCCCGATGAACACGTAATATTTCCATCATAGTTTTAGAGTTGTTTTAATACAGTTATACGACTACAGTAAAATTTTACAACCCTCCGCGTATATTATGGCGCAAAACTGAACTAGCTGGAATTGTTTTACGGCACATGTTTGCACGTATGCACATTATTTATCATCGAAAGGAAATTATAATGCAGAAGTGTGGAAAAAAATAGAACACAAAGCTTATTTTTAATTAACTTCTATTCGTTTCAAATTAAACACTTTTGAGAACGTCTGCTATAATTAGACCTTTTCCAGGGAACTCGCATAATTTTCAGCAGAAATCCCTCCAGATAGTTACTGGCCACAAAATTGTATTACCGAAGGATTGGTTGAACATTTTGGGATACATATTTGTCTAGGTAATCCAGTTATTTTAAAGGACGACTCGATACGCTACGGTTAGGAATATTAATTGTTACAGCCAGCTGCTGCAGGATGTGTTGTAAGTGAACCTAAAAGATATCAAAAAGGAAAATCAACTACATAATTTTTAATCTTACAGTCGATTAACTTCTTTCACGATAAAAGTAAGGAAACTTGGGTAATACGGAGAGTTGATTTTTCCTTTCGCCAGATAGATTTTCATTACATTTTATAATTCCCGACCGGCTTTTGAGCGAGGAAAAGAATTCCAAAATAACCGCCTAATCAAAAGTTGATTCGAAAACTTTGCCAATTTACAAAACACTCAACTCGTTTTCAGTTTATAATGCCTTTTTTCCTCTATCAAGATTTTTGCGAGACATAAATTTAATTTTTACTCCTCATTATCTCAACTACCTACTTGTTGTTTACAACAATTGCATAGTTATTCAATAAAAAATCTGTTTTTTTTACTTCTATCTTTTCCGGACAACTATTGATTTATTATAACTCTGGAAAATTCGTTGCGAGGAAAGGAAGTACAATTGGAAGTACATGTAAAGAGTGAGGTCGCAATACCTACTTCCAAATGGAGATAAGAATCCCGAAAGTGCGGAAAATAAAATGAATTATGAATTCCGGATGACTGCACTCGGGAACACGTGCAGATGAGAGTACAAGGGGCGGCTTGCGGCGTTGCAATCTGCAAAACCGGAAACTCGGCTGACTGACCTATAAATTTATAATCTTCTCGAATGGCGGACCGATATAGAGCGTTTTGCTCCGACATACGCAGTTGCACCCTTTGGGAAATTGAATTGCACCTGCATATAGGTAATGCATTCCAAGTGGTGTTTTTCATGCAAGCAGCATTCTGGGTGAAATAAGCATTCTACTACTGTAAAGTATGCCATTTTTTTTAAGACGAAAAAAAAAAATTTCTCAATGAAAACTTTCCAGGACAATTCGCTATTCAAATGAAGAACAATTTTTGCACTCGATAGAAAGAAATCGTAAATTTTCGCCAGCAACACAGAATGATAGTTAATTTATTCTCGACACAAAACCACGAACTGCCCGTAAAAAAGTTCGCCTGAAGTGTATCTTTTCGCCAACTTTTTGAATATAAACTGGTAAGTGAATTATTTCCGTCGTCGTCGTGCAACCGAATGGAAACCTCGGTAATTCGGTTATGTACTTCAGTACACATAAACCGCGGAATTATCTTCAGATTTCAAAGAGATTTTTCTAGAAAGGGCAAACGCCTTTGATAAATCTATCGAAATGAAGGAGCAAAAATAGCCGCTTAAGTGAAACCGCGCACTGTAAAGTTCCAACGCAAATTACACGGACATAAATCGTTCATATTTACTTATTCCCCCAATGTCTTCCATTATAATCAATAAAAAAGGTTTATATTTATCGATTAAAAAATAAAAAAATATAAAGATGTAAGTAGGTACCTAAACTTACATGTAATTAATAACATAAGTGATATAGAATCATAAAATTTTGGTCCAGCTATGTTAAGATATGAAAGAGTACCAATTTTTTTTTGTTGCAGGAAAGGATCGGAAAGCAGCGAATATTCCTCTCGAGCGACTTAAAAAGAACGCAAGGTTCGAATTGGATTCGGGAGAGTTTTCATTTCTGTATTGACTGTAACAACTCGCTCAACCATCCTAATCTAATTTCATGGGAAAATTTCGAAAGAAAACATAGGCCGCGCGGGAGTACACTTCTTTCATTTGAGATGGCAAAGAACAATCGGAAAATCGGAGCTTTGAAATCAATCAAAATCAGTTTGTTCATTAGTCTATTAAAAACATAATAAACGGTATTTTTTAATTTTTAATCAAACAATAAACTAAATTATCTAGAAGAGCTTCACTAATAACACAACAAATTTTTAACTCTAATTTATGTACACTATATACATATTGTAACATATTGTAACATATACATAACAATGATGTCCACTACTAAATGAGAAGCCTGGACACATTTTAGGTCTAGAGAAAAAAAGATAATGTTATGTCAGCAACAATTTCTTTTTAACAATTCTTCTTTTCTTATTTTTTTCAACAACAATGTTATCAACATCCAATGCTATAAAAAATAACAACCGAATATTAAGCCAAACAACAGGAAAATAAATACTTTGAGGAGAAATCCATTACATTAGAAAATCAAAGTGCATATGATTCTCGTTTTTGTTGAAAAACACATAAGTGGTTAAAAGCATTACTCTGTTTGATTCTTGCTAAGTTTTTATACACCAACAACACAGCTAATATAACGCTAATGGCAACGCATGCGGTCAATGCGAAGAGTAGCGGCTTGTGATCGCATTCGATATCGATTGGTATTTTGGTCGTGGTATACATGGTGGTGTTGTATGAAGTGCTTATCCGTTCTTCAGGTAACTCTGTAGAGGTGATAAATTTTGTTGTAGGATATTCCGTGGACGCGTCTATAAGCGAATTATTTTCTTTTTCGGTAGTTTCAGTTGTAATCATAGTTGTTGTATTTGCATTCACGTTGGTATCCGGGATTGTAGTAGTTGTGGTAGTTGTAGTAGTTGTGGTAGTCAACGTTTCTTGGATTAGTTCTTGGTAAAAAGGCTCTTGGACTTCGACATTTTCTGTCGAAAAATCGAAGAATTCCTCTACTATCGGAACGATCACTTGTTGATTAACGTTCGGGCTGTGGACATCCCCGAAGGCTGGTTTTGCGTTATTTGAAATCGGGAAGTCGTAAGTTGACACTATCTAAAACGAAACAGAGGCTTATCCCTTAGCATAACTACATGTATTTATACAGTAAAATTAAAAATTTCACACTCCGTTTCACCATCCGATTTGTCCGTCGGTATTTTGTATAATTTAAATTATCAGCATATTCCCTGTTCAATCCCAATATATTACATTCTTTTGATTCATAGTGTTTTATTAAATTATTTTAAAACTTTTAGTATACTTACTGGTTTTAATTTATATTGTATAGACTTCGATATTATCAGAGGCATTGTTAAAACCATTAATAACATACTATAAATATGCATTATGATAATTAAACTCATTTTTTATTTTTATTTATAGAGTACACACACGAATTTCGATTAACTTATTGCAGTTACTTCGGATGTTGATAGTTAACTAAAAAGTATATGCTGGAATCTAAATAGTTTTTATCATTTTTGAGGAAATTTTATAAATATTTGTAATAATTCCAATATATTGATTAATGGCTGTTATTTTATGAATCAGGATGAATTGTTGGAGTGCTCCCAGTATACAAACATTGCAAAAATTCGCTTCCAGATTCGCATTTTTCAGTAACTTGTCTATGTTTACTGATTACTGCTAAAAGTAGCATGCCATTGCTTTATTTTCAAAGGAATAGTGCCTAATCATCGATTTTTGCCAACTATAAAAATGAAACAATATCTATTAGATATACATGTATCATTGTTGCAATTAGTAAATCATAGTTATTATTTAAGATTGTTCAATTAACGTAACCGGTAACTTAAATTGGACCAAAGGTCCGTACATATACAAAATGTATATGTACAATATATTCAAAAACTAATCTAACGAATCATACGAATTGATATCAAATAACTTGCCTTCAGGTTTTTGTCAGAAGCCCTTTACCTACTCCTTGTATGTAAAAAATGCTCAAAAGTTAAAAAATATGTTAACGTTCCAGTCAATTTTTCAAGGTCTCCGGAGTGTCAATCAAATATTTTTAAAGATGATTCCCACGAAATGAATAAAACATTTGCTGTAATTTACTCATTGATTATCTGATTTTTTTAGATACAATTGTCATTTCTTAATGATTTTGAAGAATTCTCTCTAATGATAAAATAATAAATCAAGGCAAGATGATAATACAGGGTGTTAATGGTAATAGTAAAAAATTAATTTTTTTCAAAAAAAAAAATTTCCATGCATGGTGGGCGCCTACCAAATTTCAACAGAATATCAAAAGCGATCTATGTCTTCGGACCAAGGTAGCTGCAAAAGAAATGAGGATTTTAAAAATAATTTTGGTTTTTAGAAAAAACAGTGGCGTCCCATTTTTTCTTCAAACATTAAGTTCAAACCCGTACGGACGTCAATGGAAAAAATTTAAAAAAGCTTTTGCCTCAAAAAATGCTCCTTAATAATTAAAAAGTGTGTACAAAATTTCATAAAAATATCTGAAGTAATAAGAAAATTATGATAGAAAAGTTTTTTTTTTAATTGAAACACCCTGTAGCTCGAAAACTAAGTGGACATATGTATATCGATATTAACTTTTCTTCTTAAAATCATCCAAATATTTACATCCTGAAATATCGGCACACAATTAATTAACACCCTGTATAATTTATTTAAAAAAATATAAAATATGTTCAGTGTTTTAGTCTGAATACATAAAAAAATATCTATTCTAAATATCTTGGTTTCGCTAAATAAAAACAATGCAATACCTATATAATTATAAACATTTTAATAAAATGTACGAAACTTAGCAATTTTTTCCACGTATACTGTAATCGAAATTACAATTTTATATGTTACTTTATACAATATAAATTAACCTACAAACAATATGAACATTTACAATTTGATTATCCACTATAATCACATCGTCGGGAGCGTTTCCTGGTTTTCGATTTTGATGTTGATTTTGAGGTCGAAGGGGGCAGTACTGGAATTCCTTTCGACCGGCTGCCGGACTTCGTAACTGGAATTCCGATGCTTGAATGGTCTTACAATCTGACACCAGGCGCACAAACCGGTGACAACCACCAGGAACGAGGCTCCTATCGCGATCATCATGAACATCCACATCGTATTCGATGTAATATCGCTCGTTGTCCTGTTCGTTACCAGATTCATTTGCGTGTCGTTCAATATGTAGAGCTTCTCCGAATTGAAGCTCTTGCGGCCCGAAGCTTGGTAGGAGTACGGCGCTGAAAAAGGAAACCTTTCGTATATTTTATAGGGTATCTGAAACGAAACGAATTCATTAATTACTTACTATACATTGAGATAAAACATTTTTTAATATTATATTGTAAGCATATTTAACTTTTAAGATATTTAATTTGTTCAAAGTTTTGCGCTCAGAAATATAAGCTTATAAATAAATTCTTTGACTTACCCATTTGATTATAGTTTTTCCTATTTTTGTCATTGGTTTGTGTTATAGTAGAATCACTTTTGAAACTTTTAATTAACGCTGCTTACTCAGTCTGACCAAAGATGATTAGTAAATTTCACTAACTGAATTATCTATGAAAATTGTCTGGTAACCTCCTGGCACAGACACTTTGCTATAGAATTACCGGTGCTATGTCGGAAACAAAATTCATGTTACTAGAATTCGAATGTTATTCTCAAAAATAAAATACCTTCACACTTATATTGGAAAAATGCGGCATTCTTAATGAACCCAACCAACGGTTGAAGCATATTTAGTATACAGGTATATGTATACAAACAATTCGAGCAGAATTCAGTTGAAGAAATTCTAATCCGGCGAATTCGATTGAATGAAATTACACAGCCCCCGACTCCAAAAAAGCGTTGCCGTAAAAGTTACATCTTGGCTATGTTTGCTCAGGGAAATGCGATTTTCTTTATTCCTACTTCAACACTTTTAAGTACCGTCGAGAGTGGAGGCGTTTAATTTGATTATTTGTTCTGTACGTGATTGAGAAGGAGTGATGTTTACGAGAAAAGAGGGATTTAATAAAACTTCCAAACCAATTACTCCGTTAAAGCGAACGACTGTCCATCAGGAATAGATTACAAAGATAATTAATTTTTTATCTTAAAAAAAGTAGGTAAATCATAATGTGATATGAGTTGCTACGCTGCTTTATGATAATATAATTAAATATGAAACTATTTATTATTGTGTAATTAAACATAAAAAACGTTCTCTTTTGGTATTGGTTTTATTGTTAGATATTACTCCCCTCGAAATTAAATTTCGTACTGCAATGTTCAGGGTAAGTATTTTTTTTATTTTCCTAAACAGTAAAATAGGATATATTGTTCGCCATTAACGTCTTTAGCGGATTCTACGGTAATCCTTATATAAAATGATCGTTAAAAATCAACGCATTCGAATTCGGTAACTCGCGAAATCTTGCAGTTAGTTTACTGTGTAATTCATCTAAATTTTCCATAGTGTTAAAAATTTTACGAACAGTTAAGTTAAGCATTATTCAAAGAGCGAAGACCTGCTCAACTTCTCACAATGAGAATTTTTGAGGGCTTTTAGTTCGACGCGAAATAAATGAAAAATCGTATGAAAAACGACTCGCTCCGCTAAATAACGTGATAAGAAAGCAAGAAAAATTTATTACCGACTCAATAAAGGCGCGCACGCCAATAATCTTCTTAACTTTTGATAAATTGAAGTATTACTAAGACATTTTCATTTCGGAGATTTATTTTGCGTAATGAGGCATTATCGGAACGAATTTGTCGGCACCAGATGCTCAACGTCTGATCAATATTGATGGCTTTCGATGAATTGATTTATCTAAATCGAGGCAATTTTAAATTATGTTCCATTTGTTTCAATTTAACGCAGAGGGTGGTCTTCGTTTTTAAGGCCAATTCACACCCCAAAATGCTTAACAAATACCTTCTTTACGATCGAAATGAAATGAAACGACACTTGAATAGAATTTTGTTCATTATGTATGAAGAGAAAACTTAAAGGATAAAATGAAGTACTCTAATAAAAAACCACAATTACAGGCATTTCCTGGTATATTTAGATCATGAGATTATGTGAAAATATTTTAAATGTATAAGTCTACATAAATTGCAACATCAGAAATTTTAATGAAATATTCGTTACATATTCATCAAAGTATCGGGTACTCAAGTTTTCCGAAAGATTATTTCAGTCGAAAGTCGGTCGAACCGATAAAAACTTTAATAGTTTCAGCGACAACTCTTCAAGACCTTCTCAGCGAGGATCCAGCAGGGCCTCTGCTGCTAACCGTAATTTAAAATTCCGTGTTTATCGCGGTATAAAACTAGAATTTTATAACGCTCTCAGCTCTGTTCTTTTTTTCCGCCTTAATTCAAACCCCTAATAAAACCCTTATTTTTATTTCGCGTCCTGTTTCCTCGGATTTTCCGCTTTATTGACTGCCATTATTATTCCGACGTAGTCGTGTTTTATTGCAATTATATCCGTCTTTTGTATGAAATATGTATAGGAGATATGACGCGGTATGCGTAATTAAAACTCAGTTATACACATTTTATAACGGAATAAACCATATACAAATGTTTTGATGTATACCCTGTATACAAATTAATTGTATGCTCTTCTCTCATCTTTTTTAAAAGTAAATTTGATGGCTACGTAGATACGGAAAAAATGCATAATATGCCGGGCTTATTGAAAACCCGACAGTTTTCTCTACGGAAAATAGGCCATCGGTCTACTCAAATCCCTAGATGACCGTTTGCAACATTTTGAAATATTTACAGCGTTTCCATGCTAACTAGAATCCGTAAATTCCGGATAAAATTCCTGTCAAAAAATGAACTAAATTGAATTCGGCGTTTTTTCAAAAAAAAAATACTAAATAATAATACAGCCCGAGTAAAACCCTGGGTTTGCATTCGCTAGAGAGAAATAAATACCAATTTGCAGATTGGCGAAAGTTTCGTTTATCACACCGCGGAATGTGTTTTACTAATTGAATTGACCCATGTTTTGACAAGTTTCGAATATTTTGGACAACGCTGTTTCGTCGAACATTCGAAAAATTTACGTCCATTTCAATTTAATCCAAAGTAACAGTTACGCAAATCCACCTCTATGATATAAAAGCCCAATACACGGCCATTCCCAGGAGTAATTGCTATTTTGAGAAATAAACTCGCAGGAATAAAAATAGATAAAGATGTCCACCTTTTACAAGCGTTTACCGTGTTGAGATAGGGTGGATTTTTCCTGCTGAATAAATGAATCTCTTGCGAAAAGTTGCCATCTTGCGGTCTTTGTAAACCAAACCCACTTGGGGTTAGTGAGAATTGTGGGCCCCTAAATTGCTTGTAAAAAGTCACTCCGCTGATTTATGTGGCTGAAAAAAAAAATGTCCGCAACGACCTCGGCTACACTCAAACTTAATTGAACCGGGCAGATATAAATTAACCCGCGCACAGGACGAAAGATAAACTATGAAATAATCCGAATTCTGAATGTGTGACATTTTAATCTTAGCTAGTCGACAGGACGTATATCTGCGTTAATTTTCGCTACGCTGAACGTGTTTACCTAAAATAAAATACGGCGTAATGTGAGATAATCTCTCAATCTGGCTTTTATGCCTTCATTATTCCAATTCAACGCCGCCGTCTGCTTCATACCTACAAAGGAAGCCTCCAGTTTCGATTTATCAGTAAACTTTTCATTTACCAAGTATCGAGAGAATAGGAAGAAATTTATTGAGATTTACCAGAAGATTATTTTTATGAATAAGTTATATTTAGAGGAATATAAATCCAGCTGGAACTTACTCATTTCCAAAACAGAGGTAACGCAAACGCAAAAATATGCGTGGGATTAAACCGGGCAATTTACCTGGTGAAATGTAGCAATTTAATCTTCGAACTCATCGCCAGTGGCTTGTTCATATCCACAGCAACTGCGGATGAAACTCGTTTTGCTTTTCAAAAAAATATATCGAATTGTTGGTACAATACAAAAATGGACATAGCAATGTTGACTCGATAGTAAAATGGAAAATTCCAAAGTAAAAATAAACAACGATTTTAACACAACAGAGTACAGAGTACGAGTGATGTTGATAAAATGTATGTAACAACTGAAGTAAACGAGGTTAATAAGATATTTCGTTGTTTACGCCCTGTTTCTGTATCGATATCTCCTGTGTTTTTTTTATCGCCGCGTGAAATGTTTCGCAGAAATAAAGGGGATTTGCACGAACGAGTCCCCTTCACTCGACCAACTTTCGACATAGAACCGGCAAAGCGTCACATTTCCAAAGTCGATGAGACGAAAGAAATCCCGAACCTTCTAAACTTTGCTTGTCGAGGTCATTCCCGCTTTATCTTAATGGTTAACAGCTTCAGATATTGGCGTCAGAGGGCCCGAAACCGTTTCTGTTTCCACATAAATCATACTTCTATAAATCTTACATTCCACTGGAAGTTTATTGCTGGATGGGAATTCCCCTATATCTTAAAATGTAATAACAGCAAGTCGTAAAACATCTCTGCTTGTGTTTGATATAATTTGTCAATTATCGGACGCAAGCGGAAATTTCTTCCAGTCGATATATTGTTGGCAAATTATAACATTTTTTTCTCGCTGTTATTAATATCATGCAATTATTTGGCAACGATTATTTTTCTCTTTAGCTTGTTCATCAGATTATAAAACCAGCTAAAATTCAACAGTTATAAAATCATTTTCATCAACAGTGGTAGATGAATTATTTGGCTTTGCCTGCAAATGATTTTCGTGACTTTTAAATATTTTATTGCTCCAGTTGTTAATGGAAAGGTGAATCAAAATATGTGTCTATAATACTAAAACAGGTAAATCATTTGTATTAAGTTTACCCACTAAATCACATTATAATACATACAAACGCCTTCATAAATGATAATGCGTCCGCTAAATAGTCAAATTGCACTGAATCGCCATATTGGCTCGTTGAAAATTCCCCATAATTTTGCATCGCTTAAAATTAGCAGCAGTAAACAATCCCCTTCCTTTATATCCTTTGACGCGACATATGTATGTGTTCATTTATAATAGGCTCAATAATCGAATAATCGAATAATCGAAGCGGGGAGATATTGAGAACACGGATGCAACGCGAGCGTTTATGGATGATTTATACAGTGGAGAATTCCTGCTAAAATATGCAATATAGTCGGAACGTATACTCTAGGGTGATAGATTTTGTGCATAAAAGCTGCAGAGATAACTTCGAACGCACATTGCCTTTCCGATATGGTCAAATCTATAGAGACCTAAATTATTTCTATTTTAGTTCTCGATACTAGACTATTTAATATTACAAAAAAACTAGCCGATCAAAAGCATTAAAAAAGCAGGAAGTAAGAAATTATGACAGAAAAAAGCGACTGCATAGATTGCATTTCCACAGAAAAGTCAATTGTTTACTCCAATTTTTTTGGTCCACGGGTTAATATTACCAGTTACATATAAAAAATTCCAGTCCATATTCAATGTGTAAGAACCGAACATGAGAGCGTGAGAATCATACCGAAATAGAA